CCGCAGGGTCAACGGTTCGATCCTTGACTGGGACGTGTCACGTGTCGAAGTGTCCCTGAGCAAGACACTGAACCCCCGGCTCCCCGGGCGCCTGTCATTGGCAGCCCACTGCTCCCTATATACAGGGATGGGTCAAATGCAGAGACAAATTTCCCCTTCCGGTATCAATGTAGTATAATACATTTAAAAAAAATTAAATTAAAGAAAGAAAGTCACAAGCGTACATCAGTGTAGTTGTACAAATTCCATAGTTGCATTTTTAATTTTAGGGAATTACAAAGAGTTTACATGTATTGGGTTTCACCAAAATGCTAAAATATGGTGGAACTATTGTACATTGTTAAAGTGGCAGTGTAATTAATGCGGTATAGTCGGGGGCAGAATATATATGGGTCGCTGTAGCCTGCCTGAACAAAAACACGGAGAGCCATGTGCTCAACAGACAAAGCAACAACAAAAGATGTGAAAGGCAAGCGGGACCGCTCGACAACATGTAACATAGAAGGCCCCTGTGCCGTTACGCCATGTCTTACTAATACCACGCTAAGCTCAGCACACATAACTGCGAAACAGACAACACATTATCATCGTGGCAACCGTCGGTTCTTTACTGTCCGGGATCATTTGACGTCCCTTGGTGAAGGAGAGCAGCTAACTTTAGCCAAGCTAGGCTAACGCTTTGTCCCAACATAGCAAAGACGCACCAGCTGCAGATAACTGCTGTTGGCAAAGCTATTTAGCCAGAATGCTAATACATGTTTAGGACGTGTGCACAGTTATCACTGACATATTCTACTCATGTGACACATCACAGACAGAGACCAGCATTGTGAGGACAGGTTTAACGTTACGCTATGTGAGTTGGCCAACAACAGACCACGTCTTACTTTCTTTGCTAGTTTGCTTGCTCGATGAGAAGGAGCGACGGGAGATGTTTCAGCCTCCGAAATGGCGTGTCCCATCAGGTTATCCTTGCACCTAACCGACTACTATCACCCGATAGAAAGCACCGTTAGCTGACTGTCAGTCGACCGTTGTTTGTTTCCCCGACGGATTTTTGACAATGTCGAGCCGAGCTGCTATTAGCTTGCTAACGCTCGTCAGCTAACACAAGCTTCCAGCTGCTGCATAGAGAATCCGTTTTATTCCAGAAACCGCAGAATGGCCTGTCCATTAAGGGCAACATTTAACGTTACCGGAGCAGGAAATACCGTTAATTATATGAGAAGAAAACGTCTGCTACACAACGACAGTAAACATTACTTGGCGCGTGTGTTCCTTGAATGCATTGTTATGACGAAACCACGCCTCATTTTGTGAATGACCAATCAGAGCGTAGCAAATACAGACAGCAGACATCCAGAGTCTTTGCTACATGTATCAAAACAAGCAGTTCCTGTTGTTACTTGAAGCTTCCAAACAAAAGAGCTCCCTGAGAGGTCCCAGGGTCACCAAACACTTAAATATGCTTTAAATTCCCCTCACCCGAATAGTAAGCCCAATGTCAGACCGAATAAATACTCTGACCTTTTTTTGTTTTTGTTATTGCATCTTGTCACCTACAGCACAGACAGATTTATAGTGCAGTTTGAAAGATGCCCAATGGTCACCAGTGGTGTAAAGTCAGCAGGTACATTTACTGGGGTTGTAAATTGGCATAATTTTGAGGTGCTTCTACTTTATTTTCATTTGATACATTGATGCTTTGCTATAGATTAAACTATGAAGCAGTACCTACAAAGCAAGCAATTGAAATCGAAGCTTCTCCTCAACATAGGCTGTACATTAGTATTAGTGTGCATTAGTATTAATGATCCAGTAACAATAACATGGGCCATGCTGCACAATGACTACTTTTACTTGTAAGTGCATTATGTTGCAAATACATCTGTACATTTGCTCAAATAAAAGTCAGGACTTTGACTTGTGATGTTATATTTCTTATAGTGGGTATGCTACTTAAGTAAATGATTTAATACTTATTCCACCAGTCACTATTAGTACAAAATAAAACATAAAAGTTGTCCACCGGTTGAACTCTTTTCAAATGAGAAACGTAATATTTAACCACTTGACCATTACTGACCTGAAAAGTTTTTGGGGATTTCTCAACTTAAGCATCTCTCTTGTGGCAACCTGTCTCACTTCAAAAACAAAAACAGAAGTGATCAATTTAGCAATTTCGACCAAAAGTAAAATTGCATTTGAATTAATTAGCTTTAGCCCACTTAAAACATAGGCTACACTAAGTGTCTCTTTTGCATGAGCGCTGCCTTTGCAAAGTCTAAAAATGTTGGTCTAAAACTCTACTGTGGCTCACAGTCTGTTTTGACTCTCACTGGAGGCCACAGTTACCGACACACTCTTGCCGGTTATGTAATATTGCACTTGCATGATCAAGTTGGAAACACCCATCATCAGCTATTGTACAAAATCTCTAAGCTGTATGTTTTTGTAGCGAATGGAGCTGCAACATACTTGATGTGATGCTTCAGTCGAGGATAACCGAGCTTTATTGGGCTGTATAAGCTACCTATCAGGCCCGTTCTCTCCAGTAAGAGTTAATAAATAATGTCTTGTCTGTTTTGAAAGCTCCAGTGCAAAGCACATGGATGCATCCAAAGGTATACACCGCTGGTTAGGGATAGCAACATTGGTATGCAACGTTGACTAAATGTAAACATTACAACATCGCACTCGGTAGCAGCAAAACAAGGAGGGGCTGGAGGTTCAGCAGGATGACAGCCCGAACAGCCCGTCTGACCGTCTCCCGTAAACACGCACTGTAAACCTCCAAGAATCAACCGAGACAAAGCGATAACGGGAGGAGCAATGCAGTTACCTGATTGTTAATGTGAAAACATCTGATCACTGATATTTTCCTTGTAATGTTCACATCTCGTTAGGCTAAGTGCGGCATCCCACGGTCAGCTGTTCCCGTGTGGAACATTCCGTGGATTTCACCACTGCTGTAAAAAAAAGGTGTTCAACGTTAGACTCTCGTGTTATCAATGCATGTTGTCTGTATGTTGTGCGGGTTTATGGTTCTGTGACCCGAGAGATTATTTCCGTAATCCCCACTGTTTGGTTTCGGAAATGTTAATCCAGTCACACGGTTGCTTTGAGTTTCTGCTATTCCCTGTGACACCCCCATTTCTGCGTATTTCAGGAGCGGAGAGCACACGCAATGCTGCCATTTTTACCGTAATGGTCTGAATAAAGGTGTACCAGTTTGTCTCGAAAGTTCAGCGTCTCCTATGGAAAGCGTTGTTTCTAATCTGGGAGAGAAACATAAGGAAAAAAAGGATTCAGAACCTTTATTTTAGTTAAAGTAGTATCGCCACAGTGTAAAATAAAGGCAATGGATTGTAATGCCTATGTATTGGCCCAATATAACTATAACTGTTGTTCTCATCAAAAAATTCAGTTTCTTAATTCATGAGTCAGTGTGCATCATTATTTATTTTATATAAGTCTTGTCTACGTGGAACGACAACACCCTGACTGACCCTTGGATCGTTCAGTTATTCATTCAAGTTTCTGTTTACTGGAATTGGTTTGGTGATGTCCCTCTCTATTTAATAACTTTATTGCAGGGAGTGGAAGTGTTGTGTTTAGTACTGTAAATCCTAAACCAAAGTTTAATCGGTTTAGAATGTGAATCAGATTTCTGGGATATGTTATCAATGCCCAGACTGATGTTGATTATGAGTTTGTGAATGATAATATTCCACACATAGGCTGCCTTTGGTTGCAAAAGGTCACATATTCTGTTCAACTAACTGAATGCTTCTCATCATACACACTAAGCTTCATCTTCTGACTTAAAACACATTACAGGTCCATTCGACAGATTAGCATTGCAATCCTGTTTTTAGCTATGCTAGCAGTATTGGTATAGGCATGTCACCCTTAAGATGAATTGTAATAACTTTAATAATCCCTTTACCTCCAGCAGTTACTAATCAGGTTAAATTTAATTTTGTCCAATACTTTGTTTTTTGACCAAATACCAAATATGTACGGCATTCCCATCAGACTGTACTTAGTGTTTAGTGCCAGCTACCTAGTGCTAGCATGCTAGCACATTAAAATAAGATGTTGAACATGGTGAACATCATACCTGCTAGAAATCTGCATGTTAGCATTGCCATTGTCACTGTGTGTATGTGGTTAATTTCAGCTTTTAGCTCAAAGCCCCACAGAGCTGCTAGCATGACTCAGTTGTTAAAAAAAATGTCCATCCATTCCAAAAAAAAAAAAGGCAATTTTCTCTCTTAAGAGCAGTTGGTATGACAGCTGAATATGTTACAATCAGTAGCAAGGAGAACAGAAGTGGGTTTTCATATACCTTCATTCTGAAGACTCCATTTTAAAACAACACTGTTAAATGTTGTCTGCCGGGGTAAAGAGGAGTGGTGCCCTGGTTTTGTTTTGAGGCAAAGGTCTGATAATGAATGAATCCAGTGTGTAGAAGAGAAGATAATCTTTTGTGTAACAGCCTTTAATTAGGAGGGCAAGCAGGGGGGGCTGACTGAGAAGAGCTCATTAGGGAGGTACATGGATCTCTGCTTTCTGAAAAAGGCATTGGTCCACTGATTGGTTCTGATGAGACATGTTTTAGAAAGGCCCCTGGTTGTCGCAATGGAAGCGAAGAGACTGCTGTTGTGGCCATGACAACATAATCCCCCATTCAAAAAGAGCCCCTGGGTTCTGATGACCCAGTATGGCATGCTGCCATGAATTACTGAGGACTGGCCATCCAATGATGGGCTGAGAACTACACCTGTTCCTGTCTCTCATTACTACCCAGGCTTGAACAACCATAATGTAGTCAGAGCAAACAACAGGTGGATGTTTCTGTTTAATACATCCATTCCACTTCAGTGCAATGCTTTTGGGTGTGTTTTTTTCCAGAAACATACACACGAAGGTTTGCTGCTGTGTTATTGGCTGTGCACTTCGTGCTCGTGTTAATCATTTATATTTACAACTGCAAGGCAATATTCACAAGGAGGAACAAGAGCCAAAGGTCTCATCCAGACATAAAGGAGAACCTCCTCTGTGAATGTTGGCTGGTAAGTCTGATTGCTGCGTTTCATAATTAGGTTTACCTTTTTAAATGTTAGCGTGATGTTTTTAGTTACCATATAGCATGATTAATGGTGCTGCTCTCTTCAATCTGACATAGTAAACTATGTTGTACTGTACTGTATAACTTTAGCTTATATTTATAGCCTATACTTGTCTTTTCATAGATACATATTTAAATTAAACAATTCTCAGAAGCATGGAAGTATCTTGAAGATGAACTTCATCTCGATGAGATTAAGGGGGTTTTGTTCCCTTGGGTTGCTCATGTTATATTCAAATGTTTCTAATGTAGAACTTCTTGCTTACATTGAAAAACATTATGTAATTAAATTCTCCAATTTAACATAATTTAACGCAAAGCAGGTCTTGTCTAATTACCTCCAACTGTATCAATATTAAAGAGGAAATCACACAGGGCAGAAAGCTGAAGCTGCTCTGTTTTCTCTGTCATGAAACCGTACAACATGTTATGAGACACTGCTCAGAGATATCACAAGAGGTGGTAAAAAAACCTGCTATGGTATTGTTAACGTGGGTGCGGCCATATGCAATATGCTGTTAGATTTCAACCCATGATTGAGGCACATAAATAACTTAAATGTCTGAATTCTGAAGGTTACATCAGAATAATCTATTTTTTCTTTTTGCTTTATAAGAATTCCTTAATCTGCTGATTATTGTTTCAATTAATCGATGAATAATTCAGCCAGAAAATTGTGAAAAATGCCCATCACAATGTGAAGTCTTCAGATTGCTTGTTTAGTCCAACCAGAAGTCAAAAAACTAAAAATAATTAATTTACAAAGATAATAAATCAGAAAAAAAGTATCAGAAGCCTCACATTTGACAAGTTGGAAGCTGAATGGATCACTATTTTTAGCAGCATGGCTCTATGGACGGCAAGAATGCCGGTCCAAATCTTTGGGCCAGACTGAAATAATGTTATTATAATTAATTGTTGAGTGGATGCAACAACTATTCAATAGTATTAAGTGCTAACACAGTATATCTATTTGTTCAATTCAATTGTTTGTTCAGTTGTTTAATTGACTAATTGTATCAGCTCTACTTATCAGATTGCTCATTCTTTTTATTTGCAGACATGGAGGGGATCACAGGAGTTATGATGGTGTTGTGCCTTATTGGCTTAAGTAATGGTGAGTATTTAGTTAATTTTATTGCAATTTTGTCATTATGTCTTTACTATGTGACATTTTACTTATACTGTATGTTTTCTACAGCAAATACCAGTCCTACAATCAACTCTGTTGTTCATAATGTGTGTGAAGACACCCCCATAGGTACAGTATATACTATGTGTGTGTGAATTTTTGAAAACCGTTTTTTGTTTCACTTTTGCATTATACAAATACTGCACACATTTATTTATGTTCCACCAATGTTGTTTTCACAGGTGCCCACGTGTTTACTATAAGGGCAACAGATGCAGAAAATGACCCATTGACGTATTCACTCACTGCGCCCAATGCCGAATACTTCACAGTTGAGAGCAACACCGGGCGTGTATCAGTCAGGATGACACTGGATAGAGAGGTATGTGGCGTGGTGGATTTAGAGATCCTTCGATTCTTCAATGTTTCATTTGGATTCTGTCTTATTTCTGTCATATTTTCTTTATTCTAGGTGTTTAGTGTAATGGAACTTGGAGTTCTTGTCGATGATGGTTCCAATAGAGTAAGTTTCAGTTAATGTTAATGATCCATTTATATTAGTTTGTTCATTATATTCAGAGTTCACCATGCAATGTATTTCAGACACCAGGACAATTAACTATAATATTGGAAGACGCCAATGACAACCGACCCATATTCCAGAACACTCCATATGACATTGTGATCCCAGAAGTAAGTCAAACTTATTGATTCTCTTAACCTATTTGTTCATCAGCTTATCTTTTCCAGCATCAAACTGCCAATTCATCATGATGTCAAAATTAGCTTACACAGTTGATAATGCTGAGAGATATTTGTGTGTTAAATTGTCGTTTGTTTTTCTGTCTTTGTTTTTATCCCCTTCCAATTTATCAGAACACCACTGTAAATGCGACTCTTTTTAGGGCAATGGCCACTGATGGAGACACTGGAAGTAGTGCTGTTGTTCGATACAGCATTGATGAAGTAAGCTTCTTTTGTAAATCATGTAATTGATTCATATCGTATTCTGCTTTATTGAAGTGTAATTTATATGGTATTTTCTAGGTTACTCCAAATGATGGAGTCAGTCATTTTATAATTGTTCCTGTAACTGGGGAAGTGAAATTAAATGGACAACTGAATTACACTGCATTGAGCACGTTCTATCGGCTGAAGATTAACGCAACTGTAAGTACCATGCAATAGTAAAACAATAGTTAGACATTTTGGGAAATGTGCTTATTTGTGTTCTTGCTCAGAGTTAGGTGAGAATATTGATGCCACTCTCATGTCAGGGAGTGGTGTCAATCTTCTCATTTATTAACTGTGGGCAAGATACTGAAGAAGCATATTTTTGAAAATGACGTACTTGGATTCAATTGTTTTCCCCCCACTACATTTGTACATTTGTACATTTACCTTAACCATGACATGAAAAGTTTAAGGAGTAAAAAGGGGTTCTGCTCTGTTGTGAATCTAAGGCAAAACTGATCTCTGAAGTGATTCATTATTTCATTGCAATACAATTTTTTTATATTCAAACAAGACAAATAATGATGATAATTAAATGTCTGAATTTTTATACATCACTTTACTAATCTAGAATTATTATTGTGGTAAAAAAAGTGGCATAACATTTTAGGATTTTGACAACCTTGTTTGCTTGTTTGCAACAGGATGGCGGAGGCAAATGTTTTTATAATACAACCAATTACTTGTCAAGCATCGCTTTTTCCTTCATTACGGTTATGGATGTCCCAGACCTCGACCCACAGTTCCTTAGTATTCCCTACGTAGGGAGAGTTGAAGAGAACGCTCCTTTGGTAAGTGCTGATGCATTTTATTCTGAGCTCTGCGTTGGAAAAGGTGACTTAACTGGACTGATGTTAATTTTAAAAGAGTAATTAGAAAGGAGATGAATTACAACCAATATGTCGTCCAGTGCATTCCATTCAGTTGTTGCACATTTTCCTTTGTGTTACGTCTGCTTTTCATTCTGATGAAGCTGCGTGTTCTTGTGTAAGCCCAGGATTGATGTATATCTTTAGACATTTTGTGTGACAAAGCTGGTGCAAATCTCGTTGTGATTTATTCAAATCTACAGGCAGTAAGCCTGCTTTGAGTTGTGTGTGGATGTTAAAATATTTTTTGTTTCTTTGCCAGGGCCATTCTGTGTTTAAAGTGACTGCCCTAGACCAGGACACGGGAGTCAATGATGATATAATCTACAGCATTCAAGGTAAGCTCGATCAAGCTCAGCTAGAACAATTTCTTCTTTGTACCGAGTGAGTAAGAAATGTTTCTTCCACATTGTTTGACAGATTCCACAGCAGAGGGCCTGTTTGAAATCTCAGAAACTGATGGCGTCATATCTGTACTGTCGCATATTGACAGAGAAGATATTGGTGACACTGTTACCCTGACTGTAAAGGTACAGTTGGTTTTTTTGAGTAATACACCAATTCCTTCCACTGTATGTAAATTTACTTTGTATCCGTCTTGCATATATTTCCAGAGCAACACTTAAAAAAAACAAAAACATTTTTTATCCCTGTTATTTCAGCTATAACACTTAATACCATGAATGTTTGAATTACTTACATTCAGCGTCTGAATAAGGCTTCATGGCTTCATCCTCCCTCCTTTGGCTCCTGTAATGAGAGACAAGGAGGCCAGAAAGAATACAAGCGGTTTGTGAGGGAGGGTTGTGAGAAGTAGAAGATCTTTGTTCTTGAACATAATGCATAATAACTCCACTTACGTATGTTAGAAACAGCCTTCTCTCAATCACAGCCCATGAGCACCCAATCAAAGAAAGATGCCTGCTGCAGTCTGTGAAACATAACAGAAGATTATTATTGAGAACCTTATTTAATTAATTCATTTTTTTGCAAATGTTGAGACTGTGACATATTTAGTTTTTTTCTATTTTAGGCTACTGAGTCTAAAGCAAACATCCACGGGTTCCAAGCCAGCACCACAACAGAAGTACAGATCAACATCATCGACGTCAATGACAACATGCCGCAGTTTTACAAATGTGGAGATGAGTGTGTGATGGAGAGTCACTTCACAGGAGAGGTTGTTGAGCACGTGTTGGGCTCTGTTTTTATCAACATGACTGTCAAAGATCGGGATAAGGTGAGAGAAAAAATCACCCAAAAAGGGGACATTCTTCAACTAAAGTGAAATGAGTGAATTAAGAAATATTCTTTCATGGCTTTACACAGATTGCCCAAACTTATCTAACCCTGGAGGGAAATTACACAGACGTGTTTTCTGTGCAACCGCAATTTACAACGTCAGACAGCATCGTTCAACTGCAGGTCAAGGATCCCCAAAAACTGGATTTTGAAAAAATACAGCAAATGGTTCTGCAAGTGAGAACAATTAAATTTGAGTCTATGATCATAACAATTGTGACATTTTTCATCTTTTGGTTATCATATTTGTGATTTTTAAAGCACTTTCCCAGTCTGAGCTGCTTCCCATGCTTGTGTTATGGTGCAGGTCATTGCCATAGATGGAGAAAATGACACCTTCCAGTCCACTGCAACAGTTACTATTAACATCAAGGATGCCAATGACAACAGCCCTACGTTCATGCAGACCACGTATGAGTTGAATGTTACTGAGCACTCTCCTGTTGGGACAATATTGGACACCTTAACTGTAAGTCCTTTACTATCTGGAGTCTTACTCAGACAGTCTTAACTTGCATGTAACAAACACGTAGCACTTGAGGAGCACACAATGTTTTTTTTCCCCCCAGGCATACGATCCTGATACGATGGATCAAGGCAAAATAACCTACACGCTCCTTCCAGACAGCATGTATGGCAAACCAGTTAGTCTGCTAATTTGAATACAGCCACTCTGCAGCTGTTGCTGTGATGCTAACTGAGACAACACCACTGAAAAGTCTGTATCTGTGTTTCAGACTACTGTATTTTGATGTGGAGCCACATAACGGCGCAGTTTACGTGAAAAACGCAACTCTGCTGGACCGTGAGGTCAGATCTCTGTATTCAGCCACTCTGCAGGCCAGAGACACAGACGGCAAGCCTGGCAGCACAGTGCTGGAGATCACTGTAACTGACATCAACGACCACGCCCCGATCATCAACAGAGACACTTACCGGGAGTTTGTTAAAGAGGGTGAAAAGCTTGAACTTCGGATAGAGGTAACTGTGAGACAATAAGAGAACAGTTAATACATCCAACTCTTAAGTGTCGGTGCTATACTTCACAGGATTAATGATATATTGTTATTCTCCGTATCGTTATAAACCTCGGTCCCAGAGATTGTAACATAATGGAAAATGAAAATTACTTTACTGTCTTTGCTTTAGGAGAAAGCTAGGAACCCAAAACGGTGTACTATTTTGGCCTACAGCCCCCTATTTCCATTTAAGAGACGTCTTAAGAAAGCACTCCACCAATGTAGCACTTTACACTTCACACTATAACTTTGTCAAACTCATGTTGTTGACAGTTCACAAAAAAGGAAATCAAAAATCAAAATCGATGCAGCAGAACCAAAGATATTTTCTTTCTAATTTCAAAACCTTCTTCCTTGTTAAAACCTGGGGCTTACATTACCCGCAATGCAACTTAATTGCAACAGTTTGGTGGAAGATGCAATTGTGTTTTGTTGGTAGCAGCTAATGTTGCCTCAAGCCTCCAGCCTCAAGAAGAGTTAAGGAGCGGGCGACAGAGGTCTGGTAAGCTCACTTCTCCCTAACTCCACACCCCAAGATCTTTTTATTTTCAGTCTTGTAGTCTTCAGCCCCAACTGATGCTGAATCACGAGACATCATTTGAGGCAATTTACCAGATTTCGCGCAGCTCCCTCTGGGGACACAGAAAGCTAAATACAACTTTTACTCTAAAACACCTGTAAACAGACTCACAGAGTTGATGTGTAAAATCAATGGAGATCCCTGTTATGCTACAGCATATAATGATATCTTCAACAAAAGCATTCTTCCAATATAGTGGCAACAGTTTAGGGAGGCGCCTCTCCTGCTTCAACATGACAATGCACACAGCCGGGTCCAAAAAGAAGATGTCCAACAGTCACATATGGGTGTCCACAAGTCTTTTGGCAATGTAGTGTAATTGCAATATTTAGTAACTAATGTAGTTTCTTAACCATTTCTTCTAATGTTTCTCACTTGGACAGGCAACTGATGCAGATGACTCTGATACCAAAAACAGTCAAATAGTGTTTGGAATCGTACCAAGCAAGTACAGTGATAACTTCACCATCGACTCTGACACCGGTGTGTTAACAAACATGGTTGAGCTTGATCGTGAGGCCCTGGACCCGAAGCTGAACGGGATGATTGAGCTCAATGTAACTGCTACTGACAAGGGTACACCACCATTATCCACCATGGTCACCGTTATCATCATTGTAGAGGTAAATCTTCAACAGTTTGTAGCAAAGTATCGGTGCTGTGTTGCTACTGAAGCTGCCACTCCTGGCAAAGATGATAACCTTCCGTCTTTTCTTTGATGCATCCCAGGATGTCAATGACAACACACCACAATTTAAAGCCTCCTCTTACAAATTCTCTGTCAAAGAAGGACAAAAAGGTCAGTATTTAACTTTGCAAAGCACTTTCAAGTGTTCATAAGTGTGTGGCTGGATTCTAATTATATTTTCTATCCAATCAGGTGCCTTTGTGGGTTCTGTTCAGGCAGAAGATTTGGACCAAACAGCAGAGTTTGAGCGCATTTCTTTCAGCATTATTGAAGGAAGCTTTGGCAGCTTCATCATTCGCACCTTCGCAGAGGAGCAGGGTTACAGGGGAAACATCACTGTGGACCCTGACATTGAGCTGGACTACGAGAGTGCTCGCAAGCAATTCCGACTGCAGGTAGAGGCAACAGATCTGGAACAGAAGAAAGCCGTAGTGACGGTGGAGGTGGACGTGTTGGATGTGAACGATGAAAGGCCCGAGTTCAAGCCATCAGACCCAGTGACAGTGAAGGAGAACATCGCCAGTAGCGGGGCTGTTGGGAGCTTTACAGCGCAGGACAAAGATGGAAACCACTCACTGGTCTACGAGCTGGAATCCATCAAATGCAGATGCAACGGTTCTCTGACACCCTGCAGCTGGTTTATTCTGGATCCAACGGGGGAAGTCAGAGTCAACCTGGAGCACACAGTGGATTATGAAGAATGTGACCAGGTGCTGATGGAGGCTCAGGTGGTGGACGAGTACACGGAGAAAGGAGAGAACAACAGCGTCACAGCAGGTTAGCACTGGGTTGTTGTACAGATAACAAAAGCAGTAAAAGCATTAAAAAAAGAAATCATTTACAGACCTGCACACACATCTCACGTCATTTTACTTCATTTTTCTTTTGCAATATTTCAGGACAAATGGTGATCAACATTGAAGACATCAACGACAATGCTCCCCAATTCATTTTCTCAGATTCTGTATTTGGTGAGTGTATATTTGAGATTCTGCTGTAATTTTATTTTATTTTAGCAGCCTTTGTTTGGCTTGTGACCCTTTAAACTAAACTTCAAGCTGTCCCACTCAACAAAAAGCATTAGTCATAGTCAATGGACAAAGTAATTTAAACGAATAAACTTTATTTAGATTTTTTATCAACATTATAAAGTTCAATACATATTTTTTTTCATTGGATTTCAGTTGTGGTGTCAGAAAGTGCAAGCAAGGGGACATCGGTAGCAGGAGTCACTGTGAGTAATGAAAAACAAATAACTGACATGATTTCAGCTTGTAAATGAGATATGTGACATGAAGTCTTGACATTCCCGCTGGTATCTCTCGCTGCTCTCAGGCTACAGACCGTGACTCTGGAATAAATAGGCAGATTGACTTTAAAGTAACTGCAGTCCAATTCAGAGACAGCAACAATCAAACAAGTGACACGAAGATTCTGTTCGAGGCCATCACCACACAGCAAAAGGACATATATATTGGAATTATTCAGTGAGTACAAAGTCATTCATCAGCATCATAGTGCCATATCTCATTCTGCTCTAAATAATTATTTGTGCTTTTCTCACAAGCTTTTGTGTTTACCGCTGCACTCATTTTTATGTCTAAATGGAACCTGGACCAGAGCCTCTCTTTGAAAGGACTGTTAATATTTATTGTTGGAAAGTTAATAAAACAACTAAAAAGAAGCGCAAAATGACAAGAAAGAGACTAAAAACAACTACAAAGAGACTCAAAGTGACTTCAAAGTGACTTAAACGTGACTTCAAAACCACAGAGACGCAAAACAATTACAAAGGCATGCAAAGTGAACAAAAAGAGACAATACGACAACGACAACAACCAAAGAACTATAAAGAGACATATTGCGACAACAGAGATGCAAACAACTACAAAAAACACAAAGAGACACAAAATGACTACAAAGAGACACAAGACAGCCACAAAGGGAACTTCAAAGTTGGCAGATGGACAACTACAAAGAGACACAAAATAACTAGATGGCTGACTACAAAGACACACAAAATAACTAGAAAGAGACACAAAATTGCCATCAAGACAACCACAAAGGCAACTACAAAGAGTCACAGAGTGTCTAGAAGATGAACGACAAAGAGACACAAAAGGACTAGATAGATCACTTCAAAGACAACTACAAAGAGACTGATAATGACAAAAAAGAGACAATATTACGACCATGTGTATCTGTATCTCTGGGTGTCTTGGCCCTGTGTGTGAGGGGTGGGCTGGGCTTGTACATGTCTGTGCCAAGGGGGCCATTGTCTCACAATCTGCCCATGGCTGGACTGATTTCCTCCACATTCCACAGAACTAGCGAGGCACTTGACATATCACTGAAAGGGAAGTATTTGGTAACAGTAAGTGCAACTGACACCGGCGACCTCTCCACCAGCACTGTACTGGAGGTGAGTTGACTCAAAACATGCAGCTGGATTGTCATTCATGAAAACACCAGACGGACAGTATGACTTCAGCCTGATTTCCTACTTCTTATTATTTTGCAGATTTTCGCAGTTGATGAATCATATCAAGTGGAACTTGCATTTACAAGACCCCAAACTCTTGTTGAAGAAAACATCAATGAAATCATCAGGTATATTTCTCCGTGCTATACTGTGCTTTTGTCAAATTTGAATCAGATGACACTGAATTAAAGATTTTCTCAATATTTCATTTATTTAACACTTACATTTGTCATGTTTTACATCGGGGACTTGGCATTTTCTCTGATCTCTGAATTTCCAGAGCTCTTACTGCTGCAACCAAGGCTGCTGTAGAAATCGCTTCCATCAGGTTTGACACTGCTCAAGCATCCAGGCAAGCTCTCTTTTCTTATCACCTCTAAGCTTCAATCACCATACATACAATTAAATGATGCGGTCTGTGAATACAGACAAAGATGACCAATTATTGGCTGGTGCCAACAGGAACTCAGATCATCTTCAACTCTTTAGTTGAATGCATATACTGTTGTCCACTAGGTGGTGCCAGTGTCCCTGTAAACAACCATATTGTCGAGGACAAATTATTTGCTGATAATTGTAATTGTTCATTTGGGGTCGCTATTTTAGGTGTATAAGTGAGTTGTGTTTTTCTCTCAGGGATTCAGGTAACACCATCATAGTGGCATATTTTGTCTACTCCAACGGGACTGCTCTTACCTCTAATGAAGTGGAAAAGATGATCTCTGATCCTGAACACGCTGGTGTACTTATAGATCTTGGCCTTGCGGACATTGTGAGTATGAGCAGTTTCAGAGTTTTTCTGAAACAGTCTCTTTTCTGTCATGTTGTACTTTCTTCAACTCAATTTAAGCAGCCTTACTTTCCTCTTGTTAATTGCTGGAGTAGATTTCTATAACTTCCTTTCCCGTTGATGCATAACTTTCCACTGAACTGGAAGAGATTTCCTTTAATACAGCACAGTGAGAAATCTGTACCACTACTGTTAACTGCAACAGCTTTATTACCTTGTTTGTATCTGACTTACAATGCAGAGGGTACAAACCTCCATATATAATAAACATTGATTGTTGTAAATGTACAATATGAATCAAAACTACAACATATTGAGCCTCATTGGAAGCTAACATGAATGACAATTAGTTTGAAGTATGATATAGTCATACATTCATTTAGTTTTATTATCACAATACAGTATTATTGTTGTACTTTAATTCGTGTCTGAGATTTGTTTAACATAACCAAGCCAGGGTGACGGATTTCTGCTTTGAATACCGAAATAATCCCTACAATTGTATTAATCATTACCATAATTAACTACATTTTACTATAATGTACAAATAATAATAATCAGAATGTTATGAGGAGTCTATTGCAGAAGAATTGTCAGTGAACTGACGGTTCTCATGTTTGTTTCATTACAGTATGTGTTAAATGAAACCTCATAGGTCCACAGACAGGAGTATACTGAAGAGATTTCTTACTTGTGTTCCAGGGTAAGGCTCCTGTGATCGAAACAGACACTGACCCTTTGAAGTACGCCCTGTTCGGGATGGTGGCCGGCCTCGTCATCGTGATGGCCGTGCTCACCACTTCACTGATGTGCACTCGCAGAAAGTAAGAAGAGGGATTTGGAATAATGTTAGGGACAGGATTGAACGGAACAATTAACTATAAACCAAAGTTTATCCCGGTGAAGTTTCTTAAGAAGCATTTATCTAAAAACATCTTTGAGAGGTACTATGTCTGTTCACAAATCAACTCACTTCACGCTACAGCTACAGCAGGAAGCTGAAGGCCGCTAAAGCCATGAACTCTGCAGCCATGGTGACTTCAGGCAACCAGAAAAGTGGTCCTGTGGTGCCGGGAACCAACAAGTACACCATGGAGGGGTGAGGAGACAACAGCATTAACGAGATAAACGAATGAATAAATGACTTGAAATATGACACGTGTTTGTCTTCCTATGTATGTCATTATTAATGAACAGGGCGAATCCGGTTCTCAACCTCAACATCGACACAACCATGATCCTGGACATGGACGAGGAGAGCTCAGACGTGGACAAAGTCAGGTAAAGAAAACCTCTCTGTGACTGTCTGCACCATCTGTTGATAGCAGCTATTTGCTCCATCACAAGGTGGTGGCTCACAGTGACACACGACCTCTCGCTCCACTCTGTCGGCGTGCTGGTTGATAAACTGGGAATGTTTCCAGCTGAACATTTTGTCACAGCGTGCTCATGACAGCGTGTTATGATGGAGGACTGGCTCTCCAACGTTGGCATGTGACCTTAATTTACATCAAAAACCTTAATATGGATTTCAGGAAGAAAAAAAAAACTCTCTTTATGAAATTCATGCATATGGAGATAAGTTTGATCACTTTGTTTTTCTTTTTCCCACAACAGCCTGAACTCCCTGGCCTCCAGCAATTATGATAAAACTAACATGGTGAGTTGGCATTTTAAAGTCCATCTTCATTTGTATTAATTAGAATACGGCCTTATTTAAATACGTGTCTGCTCCTCATTAGATGAGCATCCAGGAGGAGGAGTATGATGACAGCGGGCCACCGGAGTACATTGAGCCTCTGGGTGCAGCCCTGGCCCACCGGGGCCAAAAGAAAGGCTCCGACAATCCTCACATTGGTTTTAGTAACCCTGCATTCAGCACTACAGACCTGTGATGGATATAATGATGGCCTCGGATGGACATCATGTTGCTTCTCTGTAATCAGTCAAACACATTGATGGCGTTGGATGAAGTCTTTGTGTCCCCAAGTAGCTTTCTGTTGTGACCAATTGTAATGAGTTATTAATATAATGCACAAGCTCAAGTGATGAATTTGCTATGTCAAAACATTCAATTCAAGGAATAACAATAAAGAAAACCAAAATTGGAGACGTTACTCTGTGAAGACAATATAATGATACCACATAGTGTATCGATATTGTGAAATCTGGTTTGGTTATTTAATAGACAGTTTTGTTTGTCAAACAGTTAAAGGAATAGTTTGAGATTTTGGGAAATATGCTCATCCTCCAGCTAGCCTGAAAAACAGCCTTACAGCACCTCAGAAGCTCAGCTGGCTGTTTCCAGTCTTTAGGCTAAAGTTGGCTAATTGCCTGCTGGCTGTGGCTTCACATTTAGTGCAACGACACAAAAACCGTCTCTCGGAAAAAAGCATATCCCCCCCCAAATGTCAAACTCTTCTTTTAAAAAAATCCTCATATAATTGTAGCTAGACGATTAAAAATGAGACAGAAGCAAAGGGAAAGCAAACAAAAGAATTGTTTGTTGCACATGTGAATCACTTTATTTTTTGTTAATATATTAAGCGGTAGCTTAAAAATGATGGTTTGCTTTGAAATAAACTGTAATATATAAGCTATGTCAACACACAATGCTATTTTTTTTACAGCTGATGCAACCAGAAAGACATTCCAAAAAGAGTAAAATATTGCTCAATGTCAATGCATAAATGAATTCCTTTTTTGTGACTGCACGTCAGCCAAAAGGTTTAACCTTATGCCTGTTTAATTTGTCAGTGTTTGCTTTGAGTTTGAGATTCTCATGCTCGAATAAACCCTCATGCAATGTGACTTTGTGACTTTGTATAAGCAGTGGATAGAAAAGATTGTTTCACCGTTTCCTGACATCTAAATGAATGTAATGTAAGTGCAATCTGAATGAAATCAATTTCGCCAAATGTGGATTTGATCCCACTTTTATGAATTTAACGTATGAACACCAACTTCACTAACACTGTAACAACCTCTGAATTAAAGCACATTCAAAATAATTCATCACATAATTCACAACTGAATCACTAATCATGGCATTATAATACAGTAAGTCAAGTCAGTAAGTAATGACTGAAAATACCCTCATATCAGCTGTCGATTGTGCTCGTCATTTGTACATTTTTATACTTTTCACAATACAATTAAATCAAAATTGTGCCAAATCTAAAAGCATAATATAAGACATACAAAAGCCTGCTCTACTGGTCGGGACTCCTCACACAGGCACATCAAAGCAACATTTACATCCATTTTAACTTCTATACACTTGCAACAAAATTACCCGCAGGTTGCAACGACTGACCACAAGTACATAAATTACAATCAACAACTGTCACTGTCATCTCTCTCAGTCGTAGCTGTGTGAGCTTGTGAGCAACCAGGGGAAGGATTGCCATGGCTTCATATCGTCTGAGGTGCATTTAGAAAAGCAGCAACAGCTAAAACGACTAAGCAGACAGTTGAGTGGTCTGATTGAAAAACATTAACGGAGAAGAGCTATCCAAGGCATTGATACACCTCTCCTTTTTCAAAACATGAAAACATGGAACTCCAAGAAAAAAAAGAAAACCCCATCTTGTTTGGCTGATTCTCAATGCTCCATGATTGAAGTGTTATGTTAAGTGCTTTTGTGTTTTTTTTTTTGTCTGGTGTGAGGAGGCGATCTGCTTCTCACACATTCAACACAATGTCACGCCTTGAAGTAAATCAGCGTATAACTGACACATTCTTCACGTGAATTTTTTCTAAAATGATTATCGCACAGGTTTTCTTGTTTCCTTCTAAACAGCTGTTGTTTTCTCCACAGGATTCTTGTGTCACTCAGCGCTGTGAGCTCTGGAGCAACAATGTGGCTGCTGCATGTTCTCCATTAGCTGACGGAAAGGGTTTCTTCTGCGTCGGCTCACCTCTCCATCCCGATCTCCCCTTTTCCCTGAACGGCCCTTACCTGAACCGGAACCGGAACCAGAACCTGAACCAGAACCAGAACCCCCCTGGATGGACTCTGGAGAGAGGGGCACGGCTGAGGGGTTGAGCGGAGGAGGGGGAGGCATTGAGGGCTTCTGCTTCTTCACCTGTTTCTCCAGGTGTTTCTGGATGGCTGAGCCCAGCACAGCCACTTCCACCACCGCCCCGTACACCTCCCATGTCATCCCCTTTTCATCCCAGCTCACCTCCTGCACCGGCTCCTCCTCTTTCTCCTGACAATTTATTGCCTCCTTTGTGTCATCTTCAGATGCCTCCACCTTTTTCTCTTCAGTTACTTTCTCCTCCTTTTTGTCCTCCACCACCTGCTCCTTTCTAACGTCTTCCTCCTCCACTATCTTCTCCTCTGTGCGTGCATCCTTTCCGATCTCAGGAAAAACTGTGATGGTGGGCGTTCTCGGGGTCATAGGTGCTGTAGCGACAGACCGAAACTCTATCTGCTGACCCACCTTCAGCTCAGCATCTATAGTCTCTGTGCCTACACCTCCACATCTCCCCAAAGAGCTGGGGAAGTAGAAGGCTTGGTCGCCCTCAGGAGGGATCATGGGGCTGGTAGCTGCAGACTGGCACTGCACCACTTCCAGGCTCACCTGCGTGCGGATGTTGTGGCAGCCGAAGGGAGCTGGAGACTCAGGGACAGGAGGCTTTGTCACTTCTCTCAACTCACCGCCTGCACCTTTGTTTTCTTTCACTTCTGAATTCACGTCTGTTTTTGCTTTGTCGCAAGCAGAAACAGAAGATTTCTCTGTTTTACTTTGTGGAGGGTTTGCGATTGAGATCTCCTGTACGTCAGGGGCAACAGTTTCTGTGGAGACATTCTCCTTTCCATCCGCCCTCTTTGCATCACCGTTATTCTCTCTTAGTTCCTCATATTCATCTATTTTGACCATCTCTGTCTCAAGGGTATAAAAGGATGACTCAGCCTTCTCTTCCTCCTCATTGTTGCCATAGTGGGTCACCAGGATTGTAATGTCTTGATCCATACTTCCCATCCTCTGTTGCTTACGCTGCTGATTACTATCCTCCAGAGTTACTTGTGAAACTGTTAACCCGGCAGCATTGCATGAGCTCTGTGGAGATGCATTTGAGCTGAAGCACTCGCTTTGCTCCTTTGATGTGGTACATTTCAAAGTTCCAGTTATCTCCGACTTAGTCGCTTCTTGACTTTTTGTCTTCTCTTGTTGGCCACGCTCCCTCTGCATCTCACTCTTTTTCACTTCATCCTGCTTCTGCACCGGCTCTCTCCCGCTAAGCTCTGGGAAAGCCGTGGTCGAGGGCGTCTTTGGGGTCATGGGAGACGTGGCCACAGAGCAGAACTCCACCTGCTGACCCACCTGTAGCTCTGCGTCTTTAGTGTCAGCACCCACAGCTCCGAACTTCCCGAAAGAGCTTGGGAAGAAGAAGGACTGGCCACCCTCAGGAGGCGTCATGGGGCTGGTGGCTGCAGAGCGACACTGGACCACCTCCAGGCTGACCTGTGTGCGCATGTGGTGCTGGCCGGACGGAGCTGGGGTACATGGGTCTGAGGGTCCTGGGGTTGCTGGCACAAGCACCAATATATTCTCAATGTCTTCCCCTTTTTCTCTGCCATGACCTACGCTTTTATTCTTAGTTGTCTCCCCCTGAGTTTCTCCGTCTCCATCACTCGGGAACTTATTGGAGACTGTCGTGTTGTTATGTGCTGCTGTTGTTTTGTCATCTTCAGGCTGTCGTGTCAGAAGGATGGCTTCAGTCTGCGTAGAGTCTTTACCACAACCCCCTCCTGAAAGCGCTTGATCTTTGGATTCTTCATTCTGGTCTCGCTCTTGAACGTAGCTGGCATTCATCTGAAGTTTTGGCTGAGGAGCTGTTGCCTCTTGCTTCGTGTTTATCTGAGGTCCGTCAGGCTCAGCGCTGCCATATGAGCCGCCTGGACGCTCTCCATCATCTGTCTTCTCACATGGCTTGCCGTCCTCCCTGAGACCTCTCATCTCGTCCTTCAGACTTCCCATTTTTCCTCCGCATTAAAGTTGTTGAAGTACCTGCAGGGCACAACACAGCACTGACACACTGTGCAAATCGTAATCAGTAACTATAACAACAACATCGAAGCATAGAATGTGCTAAAAATATTGTCATACGATATCGACATCAGGAATGCAAACACCGACGTGTAACCAAGTTACAGCATTGCTACTATTTGATGGACATTATTCACATGCTTATTTTGTATTGTAGGGCACTGTAATATCTGGGATATTTACTATTATTAAACACATGATTAGACTGCATTTTAAATTACAGATTCTTTTGCATTTTACCGTTAGATTGCACCTTTCTACCCTAAAGATTTATCCACACAGCCAATACAGGAACCCAAAGCACTTGTCAAAATTTTGGCTATGAAAATAAACAGGATCAAACAAACTGCAGGAAATCACGAGTAACAGACATACCTCAGCAGTCCAAGTCAGACTGAAGTCTCGCCATAACTCTCACTCGCATTTGGGTCAAACGTTGCAAAGTCTCTCCGTTGATCGAGAGGCACATCTGTCTGTATATCTCTCCTGATGATATATGGTGATAGCAGTGGCTACAGGTTTGTCTCTAGAAGAATCTATCTTAGGCAATCCTCTCTCTTTAAGCTGTGGCTGTGTCTGTTGAAAAGCTTCACATTTTCCAGTTTCCCTGGAAACCACGGTCGGGTTCTGGCAGTGAGTGGTAATGTAATGAAAAAACCTCTCTTCAGCTCGCTAATCATCAGTAAATCATAGTAATTAACCACAGATTTTCATAGCAACACAATGGCAAACTTTGTGCAGAGAGATAAACCTGTGAATTAGTCAACTGGCTTTGAAGAAGGCAAAAATTGGAGATAAAAGCTTTCATTTTACTACAGATGATCGGTGTGAGGGCTTCTAGAAGGAAGGTGGAGTATGCAACAGAGAGGAGAAGGGATTGTTTTTCTTAATTGTTACATTAGGTAAGACACAGCAACTTATGTGACTGGAGGGCACATTTGTTTGACCACTCTCAGTGTTAAGAATGCACAATCGTAATAAAAAGAAGGCTGAAAGATCAAAAAGGCACATCCTGTAAACCACAACCAATTGACATTTGCGGAGGCAGATCATCACAGGCTTATTAGAGGACCAGAAAAGCATTGCACACTCTGGTCTTTGTGCAGGCAATTTCTGAAATATTAGTAAATGTGAGTTTTCTGCTGCAACAGTGAAAGCACAAGAAAGACAGCGGGGGATATCGGCTGAAGGAGCTTGGGGGAAGAAGAGCTGCGCCTCCCACACAAACACACACTTGTGAACCACCATGTCTTTCCTTCTCATTCCTCCCTTCAACCTCTCCACTTTGCAACACGTATTGCTCTCGAGCCTCGATCACTTTCTTTCCCTGGAGTAACTCTGCGGTGCTAAGGATGTTTACATTTGTCTCATTTTAGGAATCTTCCCTTTTTATTATTATTGTACTGTAATGGTAGGCTGCAGCTTGCACAGAACACTGTGTACTGACAGAAGTATAGTCTCGGCATTAATTCAAAGGTCTCCACCAATCCCTGGCCGCCACAGAGTGCCGTTGCCTAGCAACCACGTAGTGCGATGCAGGGAGGTGTGCTGCCGAGGGCCGAGGTATAGACGGCGCTGATCATATTCTCATCAGGAGCCATCAGCCTGCCAAAGGCCATCTTTTCAGCAACGTGTTGGTAATAATAACCGTGGTGAATCGTTAGTGAGCAAAAAAAAAAACGAAACAGGCTGCAGCTACGAACAGTGCTGTCTCTCCTGCGTGTGTGGCAGGACATCACATCTTAAAAACCTGACAAACACGTTGGTATCTGCTTTTATTTCCCAAAATAGTCACATGAAGTGAAATCAATAACAAAGCAAGAAACAGAAACGCAAAAAGGTGAGAGGAAAATAAGAAATAAAAAGACAGTTAATAAAGATTTCTTTTGGAAAATAAGCGGTGGTTTTTTTTCCCAGGTTTTCTGATGCCGACATACTTCCATCGAAACATTATCGCTTGTCTAAAATGGATGATGAGACAAGTTGGCTCCAGTGTTTCAGCTGAAACTGTTCATTTTTATTAGGGATCATTTGGTCTCCAATTTCTGTCCAAACTCCTTGATGGTGTCTGTGGTCTTGTCCGCAGCTTTTCCTATGGCTGCCTGAGTCTGTCTGCCAGCTTCTTGAGCAGCTTCAAAGAGTCACAGTGAGGCAGAGGAGAAATATTCAGTAAGTTAAGCACCACATCATCACTATTGGGCTGAAGACATTGTTGTGCAGAGTTTGATTGAGAGTATCAAACTTGTGTTACCATCTTACATGCAAACTTATGAGTGATAAGCATATATTTATGTGTATATAAAAAGCTATTCAATACCTTCCATTAACTGTTCTATTCCTGTAACGTTTTGAGGAGAAACACTTTCAATCAAGCGTATTCAATGTGTATTGCTGTAGTCCTGTGTTACACACAGTGTTGTCAAATAATAAATCATATCAGGAGCTCAGCTTTAATCTCGTGTTTTTCATCCTCTGACAGCTTGCCACTGCGCTCTAACTCCTGTCTGCTCAGAGTACTATATCTACTTGACCATCATAATGCTTCAAAGACTGAGGAGTGGGCACTGTACCTGTGTTGGCCGTTTCTTTGGAGGAGTCTGCCACCTGCTGCACAGCTTCTTGAGCTGCCTGCACTGAAAAACACACGACAGAGACTTACAGTGACTGACCAGCTTTTAAACTCTTCAACTTTGGTAAATGAGCTAAACTTTGACCATCTCAGTCGTTCACAAGTGAAAGACTATTTTAAACATTTGTGAAAAATAAAAAGTTTTATTTATCAAGTTGCTCTTTTTCAACGAAGAAAGGCAAACCATTATGGGAATAAAAGCCTTTACAGGACCTTACATTGGCCCCGTGTCATCTCACAGCTATCGTACCTGCAGTGTCTGTGACTCCCTTCGCGGCCGAGTGGCTCGTGCCTTTCAGGCTCTCAAAGGACTTCTTGAACGAGGCCATGGCTCCAGTCTTTGTCCCTGCAGCGTCCACGCATCCGTCTGAGCCGACAGAGGCAGGAGAGACTGTTTATACCCTCCGTTTGAGCCCGACACCAACGAGCCTGCACAATCCAGCTGGATTAACCCAAACAAAACCCGCACAAAGAGGCCCGATCAGACTGGCATCCCAACTATGGCAGCGTTCAGCCAAGGGCCAGAGCCCGCTCAGCAGATTTTACACATCCTGTAATCAAGCCCCCAGACAAGAGTGAGCAGAAAAGGGAAACACACGAGGGCGTTATTAAATAGAGAGAACAACAGGCAGGAAAAAAAAACAGAATTGGTTACAAAAGGTTTAAAATGTAATGAGTGCTCAATGCCAAAAGTGAGTTTAAACATCATCAAACAACACTACCAAGTGGTTTCTTTTTTTAATCTTTATTTACAGAGGAATGTATGTCTGGCTTAACACATAAACCTGTATATTGACAAGTCCTGCAATTGAAAGCACATATTGATATGACAACCATTATGATTTCAAGACATAATATATTGACTTTAACTTGTTAAAATCTTCAGTACACACACGCACACACACACACACACACACACACGTATACTCTGTCAATTTCAGAGATTACAGATTTACTGGAATGATTTCACAAGCAAATATAAAGATACAATGTAAAAAACTCTTACTTCAAAAAAGTTCAAAGAAACTTCCAAAGAAATGCAAAACAAAAAAAGAAAGAACCCACAAACAGGCATTGTCGACACTTAGGAGGATATTATTCTTTTCATATCTGCTTGCAACCGGACATATTTATTTTTTCCACTCCCAATGTCTCATTGGAAGATGACGAACATCTATTGCACATTTCTAAATACAGATACACACACGTACGAAGTCACAAGCCCCGGCTCTGGTCTCATTTCATTGGGAGGGAGTCAAGGAAATGAGACAGAGGGGACAATTCTTACGTCTCAATAATTACCTACACCCAACACATCACATTAATAACATGACATTTACAATATAGAATATTAAAAGATTTGTCTTGAAGGAAGAACATTTTTCAGTGGGAATGCTTGTCTTTTTTGTTGATTTTTTTTTGCAACGGGGGTATAATAGTGATAGTTTCAGCATTTGTCCTTTTTATTATTAGAAATATTATTGTGCTGCTGGTTGGTTGGTGGCTTTGACTGGTGCTTTTACGCTTCTGGCTCGTAGTCCTGGCTCCCCTGGGAAAAGAAAAATCGATTTTTAAGAGACAGGCAGATGAAATCCGTAGCACAGAGAAGCTCGAGGGTTAAATTCAACAGTAAGACTTTGATTAAGACTTAATCGCATCAAATATGACTTAAATCAATTCATAGAAGAATACATATGACAGAGGGCTCATGGTAACACATGATTGCGGTCTGCTGAAGGTAATGATGTCACTCTATCATAGAAGCTCCTCTGCTGGTCTCTCTCTCTCTTCAGCCTGCAGAGGGCGGCAAAATCCTTCACAAGCTTCAAGGATGTGTCGTGAGCACATTCCCAGCATCCTTTTAACCCTGCACACGCCTCCTTCACACACATGATCATAAAAGAAACAAATAATACAGCCTACGGGAATATGCAATAGTCTTAGGACATCGAAGGTGTTCACAAAAACCAGGAGTGGTACTGGATGAGATGGATTTTTATTCACATATCCTCCCTAAGAGGGTTTGGTTCACTCTGTAGCACTCGGGCTCCATATTCACAGCACTGCAGGGAGACCCTGACATTACCCACAATGCACAGAGGCAGAGAGCGTCATCACCACACCCATTCAGACAGAGCTCACATATCGCTGGTGTAGCAGAGGATGGGGGAGGGGAAGCGATGCGGAGGAGAGGAGCAGGAGAGGGAGGACGACATGGATGACACAAGATACTGCCTCTGAGAAATTCACTTTTAATTTACATCTCGGGGAATATCTCGGTGTTGCAATAATCCACTCAGGAAAATAAAAGAAAATCCAACTAAACGCATTGAATAAATTGAACATCATTAGCAAAATTAAATCTTCCTCCAACTGAAGCTGATTCTGAATATTCTCTGAGAATATAATAGTTTTCTGGCTAAAAACATAGCAGAACTTTAAATCATGATATATACTAGTGAAGTGATCTTTTCCAGATTATGTACATTGTGTGCTATTTGTATTTACTCTTAGCTATTTAAAATCTGGTTTCAAAGCAATAGATTCTGCAGTTTGTCGCGCCCCTAACAGCCACATTCCAAAAATAACAATCGGTGTCAGACTCCCATCCTTCCCTCACACATGCATGTACACACACACACATATATACACACACTCCCAACGCTCAATGTAGGTAGGTGGTGCTATATTCACTGTACTCGCTATGTGGCAATTGGCTTGTTAAGCCCTCTGTTTTCATTTCCAGAAAAAAGAAGAATTACCTCATCGTGAGTGCGCTGTAATGATTGTGTGGGACAGAAGTGGGGGGGGGCAAGTGTGGAGTGCTATTGAAATGCAATACAGCTAAAATGTGTAACCATGAAGAGCTGGTGAATACCGACGAGCCTCCATCTACTGTAACGTGACTGCAGTCTATGACTTTACAGTTTTTTTACAGGCTTTTTGCAAAAAACCTACAAAAAGCAATTTACAATGAAATCTTACTTCAACACAGAGACATGAGATTCTTTATTGTAAGGCAGAGACGGAGACAGAGACGCTTTGTGTCGTGTAGGCTGATTACCTGCTGGGACTCGTATGTCTCCCCTTCTGGCTGCAGCATTGCCTCTCCCTGGCCCTCCATGGCCTCCTGCCCGTACTCCTCAGGCTGCAGAGACACAAAGAGTAGGACGATGAGCATATAAACATTATATATATTTATTGGTAGCATTGGAGAAACCAGCAAGAGTACGCTAGATTTTTTTTTTTTTGTTTAATTATCCAACCGAAAAACCCAGTCCAGTGTTGCCAACTCTTTTCTAATGATAGTAGCTAGCAG